TTTCTAGCCTGCCCTATGTTTCCTGGTAAAATGCGTGGGAAAATCCCATTGGAGGAAAATTCCACTTAGGGTTAGGGTTAGGTCAACATGAATTCATAGACCAAAATAGACATCGCCAACAAACTCGGAGTGCTTGGGTATGGTTAGGAGGGCACTGACTTTTCTAGCCTGCCCTATCTATGTTTCCTGGTAAAATGCATGGGAAAATCCCATTGGAGGAAAATTCCACTTAGGGTTAGGGTTAGGTCAACATGAATACAGAGAGCAAAAAGGATATCGCCAACAAACTCGGAGTGCTTGGGTATGGTTAGGAGGGCACTGACTTTTCTAGCCTGCCCAATCTATATTTCGTGATAAAATACATGGGAAAATCCCATTGGAGGAAAATTACACTTAGGGTTAGGGTTAGGTCACCATGAATTCATACACCAAAATAGACATCGCCAACAAACTCGGAGTGCTTGGGTATGGTTAGGAGGGCACTGACTTTTCTAGCCTGCCCTATCAATGTTTCCTGGTAAAATGCGTGGGAAAATCCCATTGGAGGAAAATAACACTTAGGGTTAGGGTTAGGTCAACATGAAGTCAGAGAGCAAAAAGGATATCGCCAACAAACTCGGAGTGCTTGGGTATGGTTAGCAGGGCACTGACTTTTCTAGCCTGCCCTATCTATGTTTCCTGGTAAAATGCATGGGAAAATCCCATTGGAGGAAAATTCCACTTAGGGTTAGGGTTAGGTCAACATGAAGTCAGAGAGCAAAAAGGATATTGCCAACAAACTCGGAGTGCTTGAGTATGGTTAGGAGGGCACTGACTGTTCTAGCCTGCCCAATCTATATTTCCTGGTAAAATACATGGGAAAATCCCATTGGAGGAAAATTACACTTAGGGTTAGGGTTAGGTCACCATGAATTCATAGACCAAAATAGACATCGCCAACTAACTCGGAGTGCTTGGGTATGGTTAGGAGGGCACTGACTTTTCTAGGCTGCGCTATGTTTCCTGGTAAAATGCGTGGGAAAATCCCATTGGAGGAAAATTACACTTAGGGTTAGGGTTAGGTCAACATGAACTCATAGAGCAAAATAGACATCACTAACAAACTCAGAATAGTTGGATATTGTAAGGAGGGCACTGACCTTTCTAGGCTGCGCTATCTATGTTTCCTGGTAAAATGCATGGGAAAATCCCATTGGAGGAAAATTCCACTTAGGGTTAGGGTTAGGTCAACATGAAGTCAGAGAGCAAAAAGGATATCGCCAACAAACTCGGAGTGCTTGGGTATGGTTAGGAGGGCACTGACTTTTCTAGCCTGCCCAATCTATATTTCCTGATAAAATACATGGAAAAATCCCATTGGAGGAAAATTACACTTAGGGTTAGGGTTAGGTCACCATGAATGCATACACCAAAATAGACATCGCCAACAAACTCGGAGTACTTGGGTATGGTTAGGAGGGCACTGAATTTTCTAGCCTGCCCTATCTATGTTTCCTGGTAAAATACATGGGAAAATCCCATTGGAGGAAAATTCCACTTAGGGTTAGGGTTAGGTCAACATGAAGTCAGAGAGCAAAAAGGATAACGCCAACAAACTCGGAGTGCTTGGGTAAGGTTAGGAGGGCACTGACATTTCTAGCCTGCCCTATCTATGTTTCCTGGTAAAATGCGTGGGAAAATCCCATTGGAGGAAAATTACACTTAGGGTTAGGGTTAGATTACCATGAACTCATAGAGCAAAATGGACATCGCCAACAAATTTGGACTGCTTGGGTATGGTTAGGAGGGCACTGACTTTTCTAGCCTGCCCTATCTATGTTTCCTGGTAAAATACATGGGAAAATCCCATTGGAGGAAAATTCCACTTAGGGTTAGGGTTAGGTC